GTTTAAGAGACGCGCTTCTCAACAGTACATTAGAGGACTGGACAGATGGTTGTTTCCTCTGCCAGTACATGTGATACGTTCAGTTGTTAAGCAAAAACGTTTTCTGCTTACCTGAGTGTATTTTATCACGTGTTAACCCGCCGGACACGAATCCGTGCATGTGTGCTGGTGGGGTTGGGGGGATGGGGGTGAGTTTGGTATGGCTGGCGGTTTCAGACCGCTGATTTTCGTGAATACGTATGTGATCTAGTAGGCACACGCGGTGGCTGAATGTTTGGAGGCGACGATGGTAGTTGAGGTGGATGCGGCGTGCTTATGTTGGTGCTTCAGGCACTGGTCCGCTAGACTCTGTTCAATGGATCCGCAAGTGACCGACCACGCCGTCGTGCGGGGTGAATATACGGGGATAGTGTGGGCAGGATAGGTTGGGAGCGTCATCATCATCACCAACACCAACAAAAACAGCAAAAACAACATGGCCGTCAACACTACCACCACCATCAGCAGGGACCCCACCGCCAGAGGCGATTACACTCCTGATGCCAAGACGTCCCGGCCGATACTGTCGATTTTCATCACTCATGTCATCCCTACCACTGCCCTCGCGAAGACCTCTCCAGCTCCCATCACAGTGAGGACACTCCTAACGCCCCGTCGACTAATGCCCTCATTGCTACCGTCCCCCCCCCGCCGCTAAAATGTGGACTTGATCCCAACTACTTCCCTTTGCGATCACACCTTTACATCATGATGCGGCCTGATTGATCACTTGCAAATTCGTTGTGCCGAAATCGGCCTCCCAGTGCCGGGAGTCCCGACATAAACCAGTCTCAGCCGCCTCATCCGTGCGCACTGACCATACATATCCACACAGCGCACGGGCCCATTCGGCCACATGCGCATCCACGTTTGTGGAGTTACCCGCAGCATCGACACGCGAAACACACCTTATGAATATATTTGGCCACATGCGCATGCATGAAAACCTGCAGTAAAACACTTTCAATAAAAGCGCATAATCACGCTTCTACACACCACCGCTGGCAAGAAATTGACATCCTTTATGCTATCGGGAATCGTGCTTTTTGTCTCCTTCTTTATTTGGCTTCCACGACATTAGCATACGTGAATTCCGAACAGTGAAAGCCCACATTTGTGAGCATTTGGTCGGTTGTGCGTGACCCGGTCGTGTGTGTGGCAGGCGCAGACGGAGGGCTCGTGGTACCATCAGTCACCGAGTTCAATCCCGACATCAGTTGGTTGACCGTATGGGACTACCACCTGGCACTCAACACATAATTCCTCATTATTAACAATCCGACGAGTCTGAATCTATCAAGGTGCTATTAGAACCGTGGCTCGAAATGTTGCCAACTGCCGATTCAACTCAGACCTCTCAGCCAGTCACCGTCATCACCACAGGGGATTCCACTCCATACCACTCTCGATGTCGCCAATCCCCACCTCCTCCATCATCCCTACCTCATCCTCCGCGACGAAGACTACTGCCAGCACTCCAACTGCCATCACCGGCGAGAACATTCCTGATGCCTCGGCAGCCACTGACCTCGGCATCATCGCCTCCGTCATCAGCAGCGTAGACTCGATTCCAACCCCTCACCGCGGCGATCGTGCCTGACAGGGACTGACGTACCAGCGCCAGGAGTTCCGACATATGCCCATCGGATCCGCCTCAAATGTCTACACCGACCACATACATTTGCGCGTCGTATAGGCTTCTTCGGCCACGAGAATGGAATTGCTCGCAATATCGACAAGTGAAGCGCATGCTACACATCTGACATATCTCCAACAGAGTGGTGGACAGTAGCAGCATCACAACCGCTCTGCAGTTGCAAACATAGCATATCCACATTTCCGTCGCAAATTCACAACATGCACTGACCTGATCAGTCACTTGCGAATCCATCACACAGAGGTTGGCAAGCCAGAGGCAGCAACACCAACATACACCAACTCCACCCGCCTTAACTACATACGCTACCCACGCAAATCCATTCCCCAATTGGACGTATTCGGTCACACGAGCAAACATGAAAACCTGCGGTGAAACACCGCCAGTCAAGCCAAATAACCGACAGTTCGACCGTCGATTTCGACGATGTCCACCGTGTGCCGCACAGACTGCATTGTGGAGCAGGGACGGTGACTTACGCAGGGGTTTATAGTGCCAGTAGACTTGCGCTGCATCTACCTACACTCTCTTCACCTCCCTCGCACGAGCCCGGTGTCAAGACAGAGTCAAGAAGACCGGAGACGAGGGAGGCCGCAGGTGGATGGCTCGGACGGATCCTCACCTTGGCGTTCCACCACACCCCCTCGTCCACACAACAATAACCAGGATTTCAACCAGACAACAGAGATTTGGAGGCTGGCACGGCCGAAGCCGCACCTGGGCGTGCCGCCAACGCCTGGCTCGGATCCCACGCTGTGGTAGGAATGCCAAGACAAAGACAACAAGACCGAAGGCGGGAGAAGGCGCAGGTGGATGGGACGGCTGGACCCGCACCTAGGCCTAATCCTGGCGTAAATGATGATGTCCTCACGAATTAACGAGTTATATCTCACGAGCCCCTATCCTTAAAGGCAGCAAGTAAATCTGAGCAGTAAATAATATAGAGATTTTGAACGTTACGTAAGCTGGCAACTGAGCGCGGCAGCAAATCAGTCCAGCGTGGCGGGTGTGTTCTTTTATCGTCACATTCAAACAAGCAATCCGGGCGAAGAAAACGAGACTTAATCGTCAAAAGAAAATCAGTACGGTAGCTCACTACAATCCCACACCCACTGGTCCACCATAAAGACATGGCCAGAATTTTAACCAAGAACAGTATCAAAACGAGTCGGAAAGGCGAAGAAGACTGGGCAGTCATGCACACGATCTGTATACCCACAGGGAGCGTAAGTGCATCTACCGGCAGGGAATCAGGAGTCAGAGAACTGCCATCGTCCACCAGGCTGCGAGGGCGGTGGTTTGCTGATCCTGGCATAGCAGACGCCTACATTCACTGGGCATCACCCAATAAAAGCACAGGAAGGGCACGCTGCGCGCAAGAGGGAATTGTGCCCTCGTTCCCCTTTCCATGTCGCCTGAATTTTATTAAAGCACGACAGGGAACCGAGCAGTGAACACCCCTCATGCGGAATTCTGGCAGACTGTGGGGGTCCAGGTCGCGTGTGTGGCAGGCGCCGACGGACCATTCTTGACCTTCTTGGCCAGTAATTCTAATCTCAGTTTGCTGACCATCTGAGACTATCGCCTGGCATAGGATAGAGGGAAGGGAGAGTGATGTCGGCACTCAGTGCATAAGTCACTGTGAGATATGAATCGTGGCTAGGAAGGACGCCATCGGACGGCATTATCTGCGGTGATACGCCGCCAGCAGTCAAACCCCACCACCAGAACTGCCCATTCACACCACACCTCCACTCAGTTGAGACGCGAGCCGTCTTGTTGTGCAAAATCCTCATCCTTTGTGTCTGGACCAGGATGTGTGTTGGCACCCTTAGGCGCGGGTCCACGCCCTGTCGACCACGGGAGAAGGCGTAGGTGGATGGAACGGCCAGACCCTTACCTACGCGCTATCCCACACGCCCTGGTACATAACAAACTCTTGACCAGAATTTTAACAAAGAACAGTATGAAAAAGGCAAGGAAGACGGGGCAACCATGAGCATGACCTGTACACCCAGCGGGAGTGCAAGCGCATCTACCGGCAGGGAAAAAGGTGTCAGAGAACTGCGAGCGCATGCCAGGGGGCGAGTGTTGCGGTTTGTTAGTTCCGGCGTGGCAGGCGTTTAAATTCATTGAGCATCACCCAATAAAAGCACGCGAACAGCATCCCAAAAGCAAGCGGGAATCGTGTTCCTCGTCTGCTTCTCCATGCCGCCTCCATAATCTTAACGTACGAGATAGACGTACAGTGAAACCCATTCATGCGAAATTCTGGCAGAATGTGCGGGGCTCGCGTCGTGTGCGTGGCACGCCCAGACGGACCGCTCTTGATACTGTCGGCCAATAAGCCCAATCTCAACAACTGTCCGGGACTATCGCCTGACGCACAGGAAACCGAGCCAGCAAATGAACGCTGGGCGTAGTCTCACCTGCAGGCAGGTGAGCGACCACTGCGACCATCAAGTGAACCCACCGCTCGACACCTCAACACCCCTACACACATACTCACACACACACACTCGACCGTTTGACCATCGATTTCGATTATGTCCACCGTGGGCCCCACAGACTGCATTGTGGAGCAGGGACGGTGACTTACGCAGGGGTTTTTTAGTGCCAGTAGACTTGCGTAGCATCTACCTACACTCTCTCCTCCTCCCCCGTCTGAGCTCGGTGTCAAGACAGAGTCAAGAAGACCGGAGACGGGGGAGGCCGCATGTGGATGGCTCGGACGGATCCTCGCCCTGGCGTTCCATCACACCCCCTGGTCCACACAACAATAACCAGGATTTCAACCAACACAAGAGAGATTTGGAGGCTGGCACGGCCGAAGCCGCACCTAGGCGTGCTGCCGTCGCCTGACTCGGATCCCACACTGTGGTGAGAGTGCCATAAAGGCCACATTAAGAAGGAGCCAATGCAGCCTGACTCTCAGAACGCCTCCGGTTAAGGAGGAGGTCCAAGGTACCCCGTCAGTTGTCAACCTTCCAAGCCAAGGCTTTTAGCGCACCGTGATGGCTTCAAGCGCGGCAGATTGTTTATAGTGAGGAGAAAGTGCGCTGAGTCGTCGACCTCACTCTCCCTTCCCATTCCCAAACCCCAGCCGCAGTCCGAGCCGGTCGGGATAGTCTCGGACTCAAGTCACCCGTGCAGCCGAAGCCGTATGGGGACCGAGTCGAGATGCACACTTCCCACTTGCGTGGAAGGTAGCAGTTTGGTGCATGCGATGGGTGAGTGTTGATGTGTGTTGGTGATAGTGAAGGAGGGTAGGGGGTGTGTGGAGTATGGTGTAGCCGGCGGTTGTCTACCGCAGGTCGTCGTGGATGCGCATGTGACCGAATAGTCCCATGCGATGCGTGAATGTGCGAGGGCAGTGTGGGCAGTGGAGGCGAGTGCGGTGGGTGTAGGTTGGTGCTCCAGGCACTGGTTCACCAGTCTCTGTGCGATGCATTCGCAAGTGACCGACCAGGCCGATGCGTGAATTGAAGGTGCCGTCGCAGTGAGGGCAGGTGTAGTCCTGATCCTCATCACTGGAATCGCAAGAGTTGGGGGTGGTGTCGGTTGTTGTGTCGGGGTTGATGGGCGAGACGGCAACCTGAACGGCCTCCGCTGGGGCAGTGGAGGATGAGGAGGAGGAGGAGGAGGAGGAGGAGGAGGAGGAGGAGGAGGAGGAGGAGGATGGAGGTAGTGGTGGTGGTGGTGGTGGTGGTACAGAAGAAGTGTCAGAGTTAGTTGGCGGTAGAGAGGACGAAGATGAGGCGGGCAGAGGAACGATGGTTGGGGCAGTTCGAGAGGCGCAGTTGATTCGAAGTTGTCCAACAAGTCTGATTCGAGCCCGGAATGTACGTTAACCTCGAGGACACGTAGGGAGCGGTTGTGCGGCGGCGATGCGGTTGGCTTCGTGGATAGCTGCGCCCGTCTTTACTGTTCTCCTCCATGTCGGACGATCGCGGGCGAGCTCTTCCCAGTTGGTCGGGTTGATTTGCAGGCGCTTCAGGGAGGACTTCAGAGTGACCTTGTACCGGCGAATTTGGCCTCCTTGACGACGAGAACCCGTCGCGACGTCTCCGTAAAAGAGTCGTTTGGGTAGTCGCTCGTCGTCCATGCGCACCAGGTGGCCGCTCCAGCGCAACTGCATTTGTCTCAGCATGGAGTAGATGCTGAGCATTCCCGTCCGTTCTAGCACGCCAGTGTCGGGGATTCGATCCTGCCACTTCAGCCTCAGGATGCGACGGAGACAACTGAGGTGGAAGTGGTTCAGTCGACGTGCCTGCCTCGTGTACACCGTCCAGGTCTCTGCTCCGTACAGTAGCGTCGGCAGGATGACGGCCTTGTACATCTTCAGCTTTTTGTTCAGTTGAAGATCGTGACGATTCCAGACAGTGCTTTGGAGGCGACCGAAGGCTTGACTGGCTTTCGAGATCCTGTTGGCTACTTCGTCATCGATCTAGGTGTTGCGGGAGAGGGTACTGCCCAGGTACGGGAAGTTCTCCACCACTTGCAGTTGAGTCCCATTCTCGCTGATTTGCGGCGGCGCGTTCGGGGCTGTGGCTGAGTTGGGTGGCGGTTGGTGCATCACCACCGTCTTCTACGTGTTAATGACCAGACCGAAGTTCTCGCAGGCGGCGGAGAACAGATCCATGCTCCGTTGCATCTCCTCTTCCGAGCTGGTGTTCAGGGCGCAGTCGTCGGCGAAGAGCAGTTCGTGCACTGTGGTTGTGGATACGCGTGATTGGAAGTTCATGCGCCGTTGATTCAGGAGATCACCGTCCGTTCTGTAGGCGATGCGGATCCCGGGGCGTTCGTCGCGGTAGGCGTCCATCAGCATGGCAGAGAACATAAGACTGAAGAGGGTTGGTGCCAGCACGCATACCTGCTTCACTCCGTTGGTCAATGCGAATGCCTCTGAGACAGCTCCGTTGTCCGTAACTCGCGCCATCATACCGTCGTGCAGCTGACGCACCATCTGGATGAATCGCTCCGGACAACCGAATTTCTGCATGATCTTCCACAGTCCTTCACGATTCACCGTGTCGAAATCTTTCGTCAGGTCCACAAAAGTAGAGTACACGTGGGTCTGCATCTCCTGGCAGTTCTCCTGAAGTTGACGGGCGGCGAAGATCATATCCGTGGTCCCACGATGACGACGGAAGCCGCATTGGCTTTCCGGCAGCAGACCCTGTTCCAGATGGTTATTTAGGCGGTTGAGCAGGATGCGAGCGAAGAACTTCTCTGCGATTTTCAGCAAGGAGATGCCACGGTGATTGACGCAGACTTGGCGGTAACCTTTGCGCTTGTATAGGTGCACGATTGTTGCGTCCTTGAAATCTTGCGGGACTTCACCTTGACGCCACATCTCCTGGCCTCGCCAACATCGCCTCCGTCACCAGCAGCGTAGACTCGATTCCAACCCCTCACCATTGCGATCGTGCCTGGCCGGGACTGGCGTACCAGTGCCAGGAGTTCCGACATATGCCCATCGGATCCGCCTGCAATGTCTACACCGACCACATACATTAGCGCGCCGCATAGGCTTCTTCGGCCACGAGAGTGGAATTCCCCGCAATATGGACAAGTGATGCACATACTGCGCATCAGACATATCTCCAACAGTGTGGTGGACAGTAGCAGCATCACAACCGCTCAGCAGCTCCCAACTTATCCTGTCCACATTTCCGTCGCAAATTCACAACATGCACTGACCTGATCAGTCACTTGCGAATCCATCACACAGAGGCTGGAGCATCAACATACACCAACCATACTCAGCCTGACTGCTTACGCTGACCACGCAAATGCAGTCACCATATGGACGTATTCGGTCACAGGAGCAAACATGAAAACCTGCGGTGAATCACCGTCAGTCAAGCCATACAACCACGCTTCTTCTCACCAGCACCCTCACACACAGCACAGTAGAGCCCGTTAGCCATCATCCATCGCCAGTTCAGCCGTCGCAACCGACGATGTTCAACGTTCGACCCATAGCATATTGATGCAGGCAGGATGACTTGCGCGTGAATTAGTTTTTACTGAAAGAAGAAGTGAGCGGCATATAGCACACTCTCCTCCCCACCTGGGCCTGTTATCAAGACAGAGACTGCGCGCCCTTCAAAATGACAGAACCGTACATACAGCACAGCATGAATATCTTCTCCTCCGGATGCGCAAGGACTGAGCCGACCGACAACACAGACATAACGGTTACCATAAACCAAGGTCACGCATAACTGAATAAAACGTTTCTCGCATTACTGCAAGGGCCCCAAAATCAAAACCGCAGACAGATTCGTCTATTTGGGCAGCAAACTCTCACGCACAGGCGACAAAGTACTCCATCGGATCTCCAAAGCTAGCCAGACGTTCGGACGACTGCAGGTCTCCGTCTGGGGTCGTCCTCGACATCGAATCAACACGAATCTCAAAATTTCCGGAGTCTTCGTCTTGAAAACGCTACTATACGGGCAGAGACACGGACTGTACACGCAAATCAAGCTGAGAAACCCAGTCACTTCTACCTCAATTGTGCCCGTATCGGCCTGGTCGATCATTTGCAATTACATTGCGCCGAGACCGGCGTACAGGTGCCAGGAGTCCCAGCATATACGCATCGCATTCGTCCCACCTGTTCGCACTGAACACACACATTCGCAGACGCATCCACGATGGGGGAATTTCCCGTCATATCCACAGGCGAAGCACACGCTGCGCATCTGACATGTCTCCAATCTCCAGCCTCCCTTCCCCCCCCCAAATGCGTGGCGGACATTAGCAGCTTCGCCACCGCAACCCACTCACCAGATCCCCAAATTATCCTGCCCATATTGCAGCCGCACATGCACATCACACATCGACCAGGTCGATCACTGAGGAATCCATCACACAGAGGCTGGTGAACCAGAGTCTGCAGCAACAACATACACCAACTCCACCCGCCCTAACTGCTTACACTGCCCATGTAAATCCAGTCACCAAATGGACGCATTCGGTCACACGAGCAAACATGAAAACCTGCGGTGAAACAGTGCCAGTCAAGCCAAATAACCACGCCTCTCCTCACCAGCACACACACACAGCACAGACGAATGCGGTGGCTGTCACCCACCGATAGTTCAACCGTCGCAGCCGACAGCATCTACCGTGTGACCCATAGCGAGTTGAAGCAGGCAGGGTGAATTGCATGGGAATCGGCTTATAATGGGAGTAGGCTTGCACAGCCTCTTCCGCACGCCATCCTTTTTCCCCCTGGGCCCGTTGCCAAGACATAGACAACAAGACCGAAGGCGGGAGAAGGCGCAGGTGGATGGGACGGCTGGACTCGCACCTAGGCGTAATCCTGACGTAAATGATAATGTCCTCACGAATTAACGAGTTATATCTCACAAGCCCCTAGCCTTAAAGCAAGCAAGTAAGTCTGAGTAGTAATTAATATAAAGATTTTGAACGTTGAGTAACCTGACAACACAGCGCGGCAGCAAATCAGTCCAGCATGGCGGGTGTGTCCTTTTATCGTCACATTCAAACAAGCAATCCAGGCAAAGTAAACGAGAGTAAATCGTCAAGGATAAATTAGTCCGGTGCCTCACTACAATCCCACACCCCCTGGTCCACAACAAACACATGACCAGAATTTTAACCAAGAACAGTATCAAAACGAGTCTGAATGGCGAGGAAGACTGGGCAGTCATGCACACGATCTGCATAGCCAGAGGGAGCGTACGTGCATCTACCGGCAAGGAATCAGGAGTCAGAGAACTGCCATCCTACACCAGGGTGCAAGGACGGTGGTTTGCTGATCCTGGCATAGCAGACGCCTACATTCCCTGGGCATCACCCAATAAAAGCACAGGAAGGGCACACTGCGCACAAGAGGGAATCGCGCCCTCGTTCCCCTTTCCATGTCGCCTCCATTTTATTAACCTGCGACAGGGAACCGAGCAGTGAACACCCCTCATGCGGAATTCTGGCAGACTGTGGGGGTCCAGGTCGCGTGTGTGGCAGGCGCCCACGGACCATTCGTGACCTTCTTGGCCAGTAATTCTAATCTTAGTTTGCTGACCAAATGAGACTATCGCCTGGCATAGGATAGAGGGAAGGGAGAGTGATGTCGACACTCAGTGCATAAGTCACTGTGAGATATGAATCGTGGCTTGGAAGGACGCCATCGGACGGGATTATCTGTGGTGATACGCTGCCAGTCAAACCCCACCACAAGAACTGCACATTCACACCACACGAACCCCTATTAATGTGGCCGCTTTGGCACTTCCACTCAGATGAGACGCCAGCCGTCTCGTTGTGCGAAATCCTGCTCCTTTGTGTCTGGACCAGGATGTGTGTTGGCACCCTTAGGCGCGTGTGCACGCCGTGTCGACCACGGGAGAAGGCGTAGGTGGATGGAACGGCTAGACCCTTACCTACGCGTTATCCCACACGCCCTGGTCCATAACAAGCTTTGACCAGAATTTTTCACCATGAACAGTATCAAAACGGATCAGAAAGGCGAGGAAGACGGGGCAACCATGAGCATGACCTGTACACCCAGCGGGAGTGCAAGCGCATCTACCTGCAGGGAAAAAGGTGCCAGAGAACTGCCAGCGCATGCCAGGGGGCGAGTGTTGTGGTTTGTTAATTCCGGCGTAGCAGACGTTTAAATTCCTTGAGCCTCACCCAACAAAAGCACACGAACAGCACCCCACCAGCTTGCAGGAATCGTGTTCCTCGTCTGCTCCTCCATGCCGCCTCCATAATCTTAACGTACGAGATGGACGAACAGTTAAACCCATTCATGCGAAATTCTGGCAGAATGTGCGGGCCTCGGGTCGTGTGCGTGGCACGCCCAGACGGACCGCTCTTGATAATGTCGACCAATAAGTCCAATCTCAACAACACAGGAGAGGGAAGCGAGAGTGATGTCGACACTCGGTGCATAATTCACGGTGCGATAAAAGTCGTGACTTAGAAGGCTGTCATTGGACAGGATAACCGGCTTATTCTTACACGACTGAGATTTAGGCTACAATGACTCCGTCTTAATGTGGCCTTTGCGGCACTTCCACCCGGTTGAGATCAGAGCTGTCTCTCCTTTCCCGGATGTCTGGAATCCTGGTCCTTTGTGTGTTTGGACCGGGATGTGTGTTGGCACCCTTAGGCGCGAGTCCACGCCATGTCGACCACAGTCTCCTTGTCTGGGCCTTATTACGGAACGGAGGTGGACGACGGTGATTAGAGTGCGATAGATGCTGCGCAAGGCCACTGCCTCCATAAACTAGTTTACGCACATGTCATCGTTTCTGCGTCCACCCTGTTGATGGGCACATGTTGTTCATCGTCGAAAACGACGGATGAACACTCGTCATGTCGCCTGAGGTATGATGATGTTGGCGTGCGGGTAGTCTGACGGATTCCGTATTTTCACGTAAGAAATAGCTTTTCAAGTGTTAGTTTTATTACATTTGCTTTATGGATTTATGGCAGACCATAGAATCGGGCTAGAACGGTGTCAGTTGCCCTCATTTGGTGCCATTCATTCTCCGTGATCACATTTTTATGTCGGTATTCTCTAAGCAGTTTACTCAGCCGATCTGCCACTGCTTTGGCTTGTGGTCTGCCAAAAATCCATAAAGCAAATGTCCCACTTCGGCCAATCGTTGCCCTCAAAGGCAGCCCCACCTACAACTTGGCAAAGTGGATGTACTCAAAACTGAAGTTCCTCCAAGGCAATTCGACTACCTCAGTTCGATCAGCCTCTCAATTCCTCATAGACCTCCGAGGTCGGAGAATTCAATCGGACGAAATCATGGTCTCCTTCGATGTGACGTCGCTATTCACATCTATCCCACCAAACGTGGCCCGCGAAGTCTTGCGCAAGAGACTTGAAGAGGCGTACGATGAGACTCAGAATGCCCTCAAAATTGAACACCTCATGAGGCTGTTTGAATTCTGCCAACAAACTTTCTTCACTTTTGCGGGAGAGACCTATGAACAAATCAAGGGAACCCCTATGGGCTCACCGATCTCCGGTTTGGTGGCAGAACTGGTCCTACAGGAGTTGGAAAAGATTGCCTTCCTCCAACATGAACCGATGTTTTGGCGACGTTACGTTGACGACACGTTCGTCATCGTAAAGAAGGACATGCTGCAACATTTTCACAGCCTGCTCAACGCAGTCTTCCCGGATATAAAATTCACGAGAGAAGAAGAACAGGAGCAGCAGTTGCCCTTCCTGGATGTGCTCGTCAGACGAAACCTTAACGGTGAACTTGAAACGACGGTTTATAGGAAGGCAACGAACAACACACAGCTTCTCAGTTTTTACAGCAACCATCCGGTGGCTCACAAACGAAGCTGTGTGAAGACGCTCTTCAAACGGATCCAAACTCATTGCAGCAAACTGGAAGACAGAGCGCGTGAGGCCCGTTATCTCCGCGACCAGTTTGTGCAAAATGGCTATCCGAGGGCATTCATAAGTCGCTGCCTACGCGGTCGCCACCAGAGAACTCAAACATCAACGCCACCGACGATATGGCATGCTCTACCATACATCAAGGGTGTTTCAGAAGCGACCGAGCGCATTGCTGCGGAGCTAGGGGTTGGAATCGCACACCGCCCCAAAGCCACCATGCGCAACACGGTCATGAAAATCAAAGACTGGTTAAAACCTGAAGAGCAATCTGGAGTAGTGTATCGCATTCCGTGTCAAAATTGTCCTTGTAATTACACAGGACAGACTGGACGCATGCTCGGATCGCGCATACATGAACATAAGCTGGCTGTGCGGCGAGGCGACGCATTGTCACAAGTGGCTGCCCACACCTACGAAATGGGTCACGAGTTTGACTTCGCAGCCACCAAAATAGTCGCCCACGCCGGAAACAAAACAGGCCGAGAATTGATTGAAGCCTGGGCCTCGGATGAGAACTCGGTCAATCGATTTATCGATCTGGCGCCGGCGTACAGAGCCCTTCGTAGTCACCTCCAGTCGTGCGACGTCGGTCGATGATTGGGTCTACGTGCCTTATAACTGCCGCTTGTCCTGTTTCTGCCACTACCTCTGACGATGGACTCCTGTGCGAGTCTGAAAGCTCAGGATAATAAACGAATTGTTCCGGTGCTCGATTCTTCTTCTTCTTCTTCTTCTTCTTCAAATATGTATACACCTGGAACTCGAGATTTCGCCTTCATCTGGAATCATTCTAAAACTATTCTAATTTAACTCATCCACCAATGAAATTTATTAAAACAATCGAGATTTATTGATGACTGCCATCCCAAGATGCCCTATTACACTGAAATACGGACAGAACGTTGAATATCTCGACTAACTGCAAAGGACACACGCAGAGGTTAAAAGATTACTATTTCTAACAAACGGAGCTTCGTCAACGGTCTCCTAAATCGAGATAAGACCCACAACTGAAAAAAAGAACGTAATCTGATGAACAACACCCATCATTCACAAATCACTGTCGAGTATTTCTGCGTGTCTTCTCGAGCAGACTAATGTCAGCCGAGGTGCGAACGCTTCCAAAATTAGCAGGCGTGTGGTGGCATAGCAACTGCAGCCAATGCATGCTGCGTCCACAACATCTTTCTCTTGCTGTCATTTGTCGATCCTGGATCCGAAATCACGGGCATATGTTTTTCGGTCATAGGTTTTTAACACAAATTATGCGTCGGGCCGCATGCGAATGGATACCACAACAGCAATCTCCTCAAATGTGCCCACCGAGCACTTGCACTTCCAGAGTGCAGAAATCATATGAGTGTAATGGTACAGTTGGCCTCCCGGCGTTTGACACCATTTAATTTTGTAGAATTCTCATGAAATCCATTTGCAAAACCGGAGGAAAGAGGGCAAGACAGAGGAAGAGACGATAGGCACGTCAAAAAATTACCTCTGCCACTAAGACATTCATATACGCACACCTCGAGCAGCTTGCCACGTCTAACTCGGGGACCAATGTGTTATGACGGTCCTAGATATAACTATTGGACATTCCATGAAAAAGGAGCGCACATTAACAAAAAAGATGATCCCTTCAGGGCGGGAATGCGGAATATGGAGGTGATAGCATCTTTTCAACATCCGCTTGCGTCTGACAGCCACATCCATCGGCGACAATGATTCTTCCCGTGCGTGTGGTCCGCACGACGGCAGCTGATATCACAGATGAACCATGGACCACAAGGCTGAAGTAGGAAACAAACGCAAGGACCATAGATGTGGAGTAAGATGTGCCGAATGTGCATCAAGAACTTCAACGGAAGTGGTGATGGACAACAGTCAAAAGGAAGTTTCCATACTCAAGATTGGCAGGGAGGGTGCAAGAATTGTGAATACCATCTCGTCCAGAAGAAACAATCTAAAAAACGACGGTAAATAAACGTCCGGAACTAAGACAAAATTAGCACAAGCCGTATTTTTATAGGCCGGGAAGGCAAACTTACAAACTGGAAGGATTCTTCGGTGGGACATGCTGGGTGAATTAAAATATTTTCGTGAAAAGTGGCGAACAAAAATCTCACATGACCGAAAATATTCAAAAGACGTAACAAAAGATAAATATCCGAAATTCGATTACTTGCAGGATCGAGGACTGTAACTCCAAAATGCGTAAGCCAGGGATGAAAATTACTGAATATTCTCGTTACGCGCGAGTAAAGTTTTTACATCCGAAGCTACTCGGAGAAAATCACGAGTACTGTGCGATGAGGGGATGCAAAGGAAGGGAGTGTATGGACGGGTGGGCGTAAGGAAAGAAATTGATCCCAAGTGATGCTATTGGACGCTGAAGCTGAAAGCATGGCGTTAAATCACGTGAGAACGCCAGGTGGAAGAAGGTTAAATGAGTATGAACTGTTGTCATAGGAATTGGTGAACACCCGAACAGAGCAGAAAAGCGCTTTTTGCCGCCACAATCCTGACGACTGCTAGCACTGTTCCATCACGAGTAACTGGACATCGACATTCTCTGAGATTACCGAATTCGTGGTCTACGCACCAACATGCAGGATTCCTGTCTTCATTCGTGACATAGAAGAAAAGAACAAAGTAGAAATGAGATTTAAGCAGTATTTTCGGAATATGAGATAAACCAGATAAACACAGATGCATAAGTTTTACATTAAAGGCCTATGTATGATAAGTTAAAGGGCAAATGCTGTGATAGCTGGCTGAAATACCCCTAAACTCATATTCCGCGAAGGGGACTCTTTATCGTAAACATAACTGGTTTCCGTAGAAATGCGTAGTCCACGCTATCGGTTATAATGCAGTGGTTACCGTCAAATAGAAACATCCGTAATCTTTCTAAAATTATTCTAATTTAACTTATCCAACAATGAAATTTATTAAGACAACGGAGATTTATTGATGACTGTCATCCCAAAATGCCCTATTACACTGAAATACTGATAGATCGTTGAATATCTCGACTAATTGCAATTGACACACGCAGAGGTTGTGCAAGTATACGGGTAAAAGATTAATATTTCTCACAAACGAAACTCCGTCAAGAGTCT